GGGGCACGCTGAAGCTTTTCTGTGTCCTCCCAGCCCTGGGCGGCCCCTCTGAGGCCAAGCACCAGGCCGAAATGGTGGGGGCGAGGTCGAGGCCTCCATGGCCCCTCGCTGGGCACACCAGCCTCTCTACACCCGGCCCCACACCGTGCCTTCCACATGCCAGCCGGGTTCCTACCATTCCTCCCACCCCCATGTCCTATGCACAAGCCTCCATGGGCCCAGGGCGGGGCGTAGCTACCTTCAGGTCCCAGAACAGGCCCTGGAGCAGGGTGTCAAAGCCGTGGCTCTTGAGCTCATTCAGGGGGCCCAGGAGGCCCTGTGGCGCCTGCCACTTCTCCAAGGATATCCTGGAAGGACATGGGGCAGGGATGCCAGTCACACCGGCCCTGCTGGCCCTTGGCCCGTACCAGAGAGCCAGTCAGCCCGAGGCCCATCTTCCTAAACCACCTCCTCACTCTGGAACCCTCGATGGCTCCCCATTCCCTTGGGAGCAAGTCCAAGTCACTCCATTATACCCCCCACGCAGGCCCAGTCTGCTCACTGCCCGCACACCCCCAGGCCACATCCTCTCCTAACTGGGGCGTGCGGCTCCGCCTCTGCACACCTGTGTGCTCCACTGCTTAACGGGCAGAATCACTGCCCGTTGTTCGAGGATAAAATCACCAGTGAGCCCTTTGCCTGAGGCGGGGCCCACCTCACAGCCGCTTCCGCTGGGCAGGCCTCCCGTTTCCCACAGGCCTTCCTCATTTATTCCACGGCTGCTTACACTGCTGTGGCCTCCCCCCACACCTACCTCCCCCCCACCACGCGCTCTCCTCTCCCCCCCAGCAGCCCCTTCTCGCCAACAGGCAGGCTGGTGCTCTGCTCCCACACCCGCTCCTGGCCTCCCAGCCTCCCAGCCTCACCCTCTCACCGGAAGGACAGGCAATTGTTGATGTTGGCCATCACGTTGGCCCTGTAATTCCGCAGCTGTTTGCACCTCTCCAGAAAGTCCTCAAAGGCTTGCTGGTAGCTGGTGAGACAGGAAGAGGCACTTGCAGGACCAGCACAAACACTGGGACAGGAGCAGCGCCCGGGTTACAGCGCACTTTCCCAGGGGTGGCCCTCAGCTTAAGGCGGCAGCTGGCCCCGGGCACCACGTGGCCGACTACGCTCTCGGGGCCAATGGAGCCAGGTCCTGCCGAGCTCCTGAGCAGGGGGTCGCCAAGCTCTGGGAGCCTGGAGCGGGCCTCAGAAGTGGGGGGGGGGGCAGCCAGGAGATTGGGGGGCGAGACTGGAGGTGCCACCTGAAGGGGAGACTGGGGTCTCAGTCCCTCGGGAGGCATTCCCTTGCAGCTGGAGGGTGCTCTGCTAGGAGCTGCGCCCAGCAGAGTGGGGGCCTCAGTGCCCAGTGCAGGGGGACAGACATCCCTAGGGGCCAGGAGGGCACTGGTCTAGCCTGGACCCCCAGCCGGGCGCAGGGAGGACGCTGCAGGGCCCTCTGTGCCGCCTGTGCACACACCCACCTCCTCAGAAACGCGGCCAGCTCCGCCAGCAGCATGTGCTGTATCTGCTTGCCCAGGTCAGGTGTGATGCTCTCGGCCTTGATCTGGCCCTGGGAGATGATCTGCAGGCAGGGAGGTAAGCTGAGCAGGGCCCCACCAGCACCAGGGCTGGGGTGGGAGTAGGGGCCTGCTGGGAAAGGGGGTGGGCTCAGAGGCGGCACATGTGTGCACACAGGGATGAACTGGGTGGGCTGTCCGTGTACACGGGGGGTGGGGGGTGGGGGGCTGCTACCTGAATGATGTCAATGGCCAGCTCGCTGTGACAGTGGCCGTTCAGCCTCTGGGGGGCCACATCCTGGGCCCAGTGCTGTGACTCCAGGTCCAGGGCTCGGGCCATCAGCTCTTTCACGCTGGCCTGGGGGCCGGGGAGAGTCAGGTCAAGGTAGCAGGAACCCATCAGCCCTGCCCACGTGGGAGTCCTGTCAGGCTCCCTGATGTCCTGACTGCCCCAGAGCCCCCCTCCGCTTCCTTCCTGCCCCTCCCTGGCCAGGCCCCGGCGCTGTCGTTGGACTCACCACCTCGTTGAACAGGAACGTGGCCTCCAGCAGCCGGACCTGCTTGGGGGGCAGGAGGCTCCCCAGGTTGATCCCCTGCAGCTCCCCTGCCAGGCTGGCGCTATTGATGATGTCGCTGTGGGCAGAGGGGCTGGCGTGAGGCAGACAGGCCCCACCCAGCACCATCCTGAGGTGAGAGTACCTCCCTCCCTGCCTCTCTGCTGCTCTGAGCTCCGCTGTCTGCCCCCCACTGACCCCCCTCCCTGCCTATCTGTTCAGGTAAAAACCTTGGGACATCATGCCTCCTTTTACTCTCTCATCCACTCAGGCTCCAAAACATCCCCCCGCCCCGCCCCATCAGCCTCCAGCCACCCAGCCACCCACCCCATCTCCCGCCTGGCTCATTGCCAGAGCCTCCTCCCAGGCTCCGGCGTCCGCCCTTGTCCACCAGCAGGCAGAACCTGCTCACCTCCTCCTGCAGATCAAACCCCAGCTCCCCTCTCACAATCGCTACCCTTCCCATTGCTAATCAGTGAGATATGCAAATTAACTGCCAACCGCCCGCCCTCCCAGCCACCCCTGGACCCGCAGAGGCTGGGCCAGCTGAGCAGGAAGGGCTGCTTACAGGGCTCTGTGGAGGCGGCTCCCTCACCCTCCTGGCGCCTCTGCGGGTCCAGGGCCCCCAGGGACGGCCCAACCTTGGCACCTCCTCAGGGCCTTTGTCTACAGGAGGCTCTGCCCCTTCGCAGCCTGGACACCATGTCCCTTTGCTCCCTGCATTTCTGCCACACAGGCCTCAACCAAGCCTCCGGAACCCCCCTCAGGACTCCCAGCCCAGCCAGCTGCCGTTTCCGCTGTGTCGACCCCAGTGGGCCCCAGGCTAAAGGCCCCCGGTCACGTCACCGGGACAGGAAGGCTGCCTGCCTGGCAGAGGTGTGTGTGCCCAGCGTTTCCTGTTGAGTCAGGCCCGCGGCCCCTGCCCTGTGCCACTGCCCTGTGCCCTGCTGACTCCTCACCCACCACCCCACTGGGCCCTTCCTCCGGACCCGCTGACCACCAGCACCAACTGAGCCCACTGGCCACCCAGGTGGGTCCCCGAGGCCCTCCACGCTGCCCAGACTGTCTACTCCTCCGGGCTTCCCCCTGGGGGCTGGGCCAGCCCTTCAGGCCCCCCCCAGGCCTCTGCTGGGCACTTCCACACTCTGTCTCCCCCACCCAGCTGTGCTGAGACCCATGGAGTCTGGGTAAATCGGGCCACCTGAGGCTGTGCCCACGGCTACCAGGCCCCCTCCAAGGGCACTGCCAGCCTCCCACCGAGGCGCTCCAGGCCCCCCGGCCGGAACTCAGCTCAGCTGTGGGCTCACGGGGATCTTTCCATGGGCCACGTGGCCCAGCCCTGCCCTGCTCTCCGAGCTTCCCGGGAGGCCCCATCACCTGTCCATAAAGCCCAACACTGACAAGCTCCCACAGCTCCCAGAATGCCTCCCGGCTCCGCTTCAGGCCCAGGGAGTGACTCCCTTCGCCGAGAGCACCTCCCTCCCTCTGCCTTCTTCCCGGTCCCCTCCCCTTCCTTCTGTGGGATTGGGAGCTGGCCCTGCCCCGGGACCTGGGCTCCTGCTCCAGGCAGACGCTGCTGGCACCTCCTCAAGCCCACTCCCGGGCTGAAGGTCAGGCTAGGGCTCTGCCCTGGGCTCCCAGCCCCTGACCGCCTCTGCCACAGCCGCTCCCGCTGTGGATTGCCATCGTCTGCCCACCCCTTGCCCAGTTCACGAATGAATGAAGTTCTGGGCCCTGCCGGGTGGCTCAGCGGTTGAGCGTTGACCTATGAACCAGGAGATCACGGTTTGATTCCCAGTCAGGGCACATGCCCAGGTTGCAGGCTCCATCCCCAGTGTGGGCCGTGCAGGAGGCAGCAGATCCATGATTCTCTCTCATCATTGATGTTTCTCTCTCTCCCTCTCCCTTCCTCTCTGAGATCAATACAAATGTATTTTTTTAAATAAGTGAAGTCCCTGCCTTTCTCTGCACCTCGGTTGCCCCAACTGCATCTGTTTCCCCAACTGAGGCCCTGGGAATGAAGGGTTCCAAGTGCAAAGCCGACCCAGCAGGCTCAGGCCTCACCGCCCTGCTGGCTGTCCGCCCATGGGGACCCCTCCCCGCGGCCCAGGGCCCCGCCCACGGGACGCCACCAGGGGGGGGGACCTGGTTTTCCCCCTCCCCACCCCCAGAAACGCCGCCCCGTGGCCCAGGCCCGCACTCACTTGGGGTAGAGGTTCTGCACCCAGAGCAGCAGCATGTAGGTGTCGCGCTGGCACAGCTCGAACTGCGCCA